CCAGATACGAGCTGAGGACCAAGTGGTATGCCAGACTCGTACTGAGGGCAGGTCAGATATGTTCCAGTTGTAGGACTACAGGGGGCAAGCCAGTCATAAGATGTGGGCTCGAAAGCAAACCAGACTTATGATGTGGGCTCAGAGGCAATCCAAATGTGAGCTGTGGGCCGGAAGGCAAGCCAGACTCACACTGTGGGCCCAGGGGGGGGGTAATCCAGTCTGTAGAGTTGTGGACCCATTACATGCTGTTATTTGTATATGTGTTATGTGTAGTGTATCGGTATTTTGGGGGAACTTACTAAGCTTTCAGGCGTACAGTTTCAGTTTATTGTTTCAGGTACATCAGGGGATCGCGGCAAGGCAAAGGCGTGATCGTACAACTCCTCATGTTTTGTTTATGTTTCTGGGAAAACTCTGATATTATACATTTTGAAAACAAGTTTGTAATGATTTAGTGGTTTTGAAATGTTCTTAAAAGTTCAAATTTGGCATAATTTTATGGGTGTTACATTTCAATTTCAGATACATCAACAATTTGGTGACTGGAGAGTTAGTCTGGGGACTACCAATTCTGAAATTCAACAACGATACTTTGTGCCCAGCATGTGAGTGTGGTAAACAAACCAAGGGAAGTCATTCATTGATAATTTATTCGTCAATTGTTGAACCTCTAGAGCTCCTTCATATAGACTTCTGCGGTCCTTCAATTGTAGCCAGTCTTCATCACAAAAAATACATTTTGGTTATAGTTGATGAATACACCCATTTTACTTGGGTTTTCTTTCTAAGACTCAAGTCAGACGCACCACAGAGTTTAAATAACTTCATCAAAGAGATAGAGCTTCAGATCAAACTTCCGGTTAGAAGGATAAGAAGTGATAATGGCAAAGAGTTTACTAATAAGCTCTTGAATAGCTTTTTAGTATCAAAAGGAACCGTCCATAACTTCTCGGAACCATACACACCGTAGCAGAATGGAGTAGTGGATAGGAGGATTAAAACATTGGTCAAAGCTGCTAGATCAATGCTCAACTTTGCCAACTTACCTCTCTACTTTTGGGCTGAAGCAGTGGCAAGTGCATGTTTTGTTCAAAATCAAAGTATCATCTGCAGGCGCCTCAACAAAACTCCATATGAAGGTCTTAACAATAGAAAACCCAATGTACATGTCTTTCACATTTTTGGTTGCAAGTGTTTCGTGGTCAACAACAAGGACATTCTCAACAAATTTGCACCAAAATATGATGAAGGGATCTTCTTGGGTTACTCAACAAACAAGGTTGCATATCGTGTTCTCATCTGAAGAACAAGACTAATAGTTGAAAGCTTCTACGTCAAATTCGATGACTATTATGTCTGCAACACAGCTCCCATCAACGAAACCAAGTTCATCCTAGAAAAAGACATTCCACTGTCATCGGGACCCCTAAACATAGTTGAAGTTAACTATGATGACCTCTTTGATCCCGTAGAGACTGTACATCTGTCAGAGATATTGGTGTCTACTGAAGCACAACAACAAGACTCTTCAGTATCTGGACCAACTATTTCTGAGGAAACCTCATTCAATACTTCCACCTCACCGGTTGAGGGGGGAGAAACTCAAATCCTTTAGAAATCGCAATCATCGAGGTTCCAGTACTTGAAGATACTGCTCCGACACCTGTCTACAAAGTGACCAATCAATCAACTGTCTCTAAAGATTCATAGGACGAAGAAGTTACAAATATTGATACCGAAGAGGATCCAAGGATAGTGACTCAATCATTGATTCAGGGGGAACCATCATTGGTTCCGGGGGAACCGTCAACAATCCAGGGGGAACCTTCAAATTCAGCTGCAGAATCAATCCCAACAGTCCAAGACTCTTCTGCGGGATGCTCCCAAACCGAGGGGGAACAACCTTCGTCATACAGACTCGAAGACTCCTCTGAGGTGGAGGACATTCCCTCAAGTGGAGCAGCAGATCATCAACAAGCTCGTCTACATATCTCGACGAAAGACCACCCACCAGGCCAGATCATCAGGAATCCATCTGCGGGTATACAAACTCGCTCCTCTACAAAATTATCTAACCATTTCCAGTATGCAACTTTCATGTCCTTAATCAAGCCCATGACCACGAAAGAAGCTCTTTTAGAGCCCGATTGGATTATCACAATGCAAGACGAATTGGCTGAGTTCGAAGGAAACCGAGTTTGGAAGCTGGTACCGAAGCCTAAAGGGCACACTATAGGCGGAACCAGATGGGTTTACAAGAATAAATTATATGAATCAGGTGTGGTGGTTTGCAACAAAGCTTATTTGGTTGCAAAAGGGTACAGTCAACTAGAGAGGGTGTTGACTATGATAAGACGTATGCACCGGTAACAAGGATTGAGGACATACGTATTTTTCTTGCGTATGCAGCACACAAGAACATCAAAGTCCATCAAATGGATGTGAAGAGTACGTTTTATAATGGCGAATTGAAAGAAGAAGTATACTTACATCAACCTCCAGGCTTTGAAAGTTCAGAGTTTCCTAATTATTGTTATGAGTTGGAGAAGGCGGTCTACGGGTTAAAGCTAGCACCTAGAGCTTGGTATGAAACTCTTTCAAAGTTTCTTGTCAACTCCTGGTACAAACGAGGTGTGATAGATCCCACTCTTTTCAGACGAGTTAATGGCAAACACCTGATGCTCGTGCAAATCTATGTGGACGATATCATCTTCGGTTCAACAGATCAAGGACTGGTGGATGATTTTGCAAAGCTCATTAACAACAAGTTTCAAATGAGCATGAATAGAGAGATTAATTTTTTTCTAGGTCTTCAGGTCAAACAGATATCTCAAGGGATCTTCATCTATCAAGAAAAATATACAACTGAACTGTTGAATAAATTTTCAATGGACAATTGCTTCTCGGCAAAGGTCCCCATGGCCTTCGGTTATAAAATCTCAGCTGACCCTACCAGAGATTCAGTTGACCAAAAGATATACCGAGGAATGATTGGATCATTGATGTACCTCAATGCAAGCCGGCCATATATTGTCTTCGCGACGGGTCTATGTGCTAGATACAAGACCGATCCCAAAGTATCCCATTTGACCGCAGTCAAGCAGATCTTCAGGTATCTCAAAGGGACTAAGGCCTTGGGACTCTGGTATCCAGCGGGAAATGACTTCAGTCTGCAGGCTTTCACTGACGCAGACCATGCAGGGTGCAAACTTGATAGAAAGAGCACCTCGGGAGGATGCCAATTTTTAGGTGGGAGATTAGTGAGTTGGCCCTCAAGAAAACAAAATTGTGTCTCACTTTCCACCACAGAGGCCGAATACGTTGCTACAACCAGTTGCTCCTCTCAGGTCCTCTAGATGAAGACACAACTTTTGGACTATGGGTATCAGATGCTAACAATACCTATCTATTGTGATTCAGAGAGTGCAATAGCGATTTCACATAATCATATTCACCACTCAAAGACGAAACACATAGCGGTGCAGTATCACTTCATCAAGGACCGCATCCTCAAAGGTAACATTGAACTTATATTTGTTCTAACTCATGAGGAAATAGCTGATGTTTTCACGAAGGCTCTCGATTCCACACAACTGAATGGGTTTTTAGAAATGTTAGGAATGATGAATCCAGACCCTCAGTTCTTCTTGAATGGGTAACGACCGAAGACCTCATAATCTTCGGGTTTGATTAAAATTGCTTCTTTTCTTTTTAACTAAACAAATTCTTGAAGCATTTTACTTACCTTATGCATTTCGAGAATAATTGATGTAGTACATACTTCATAAGTTGCTCCTCCGTATGCTCTGTATACCGAAGACCACTTTATGATCTATGTACTCCTCGGGTCTCTTTATTATTTGTATTTCTAACCTTTGTAATCAAGTTGCTCTTCAGTATCATATCCAACAATCTCATTCATTATCACGCAATCATCTATCACTCCAGAACCCGAAGACGTATCTCCTCAGACATGTCCAAAGCTCATGGTGTGCTATCAAATGAAGTATCAATTCTTATACCATACAATACTACACATATAGAATGTGTTATAAAGTGTTTTATGTTTAAATAATCTTAGTGATATACATTTCACTTTGTATGTTGGGTTTTATGTTTTAAGAATAGTATTTAATATTTCATATTATCAATGCAAACATTTATTTTGGTTATTATTGTTGTATTGTAAATATCTATAGCAACTCAATTTATAGCATATTACCTTTTCTCATAATTCTTAATTAGTGACTATTTTGTTTGGTCTCTAATAGTAATTATTTGGTGACCACTTTTTTTGGTCACTATAGTCATTAATAAGAAAATCAATGACATTTTTGTGGTCATTAAAACAGGTCACTAATTTGATAAAATATTGATAACCATCATTGATTAGTGACAATGTTTAACGACGAAATGGGTTGTTGGACCTATAATGACAAAATGTAATGACCAAAACTTTGGTAACTAAATCATTTAGGGACTACTCCTACATTTTCGTCACTAACTAATTAACATTTTTTTTGTAGTGGATTAATTTTAAAAAAAAAATCATTGTAAACTTATATTAATTTTAAATGTTATTTGTTGCTATACTTCTTCTAAAGTTCCCGGTCAACAAAAAATGGGAGGTAAAAATTCACATATACCTACAACGACAAAACAACGAAACTGAACCACTCGTCTAATTACCCTTCAAGTAACACGCAATGCGCACGATTAATAAATAAAAAACGAAATCATAAAAGAAAAAAAAAAGATATTTTCGATACTTCATAGTCCAGTTTAAGTACAAAAAACTACTAATATAACTTACTAAAAACGTGACTTTTCAGTGTTGAAGGAGACGTATAAAAATAATAATGTTATACCAAATGTAGAAATTCATCCAAAATAGAGAACAAAGTAGACTAAAACAACATCCTACGATTAGTCAACGGATAGGTTTGTAACTTAATAATTTTCTATTTTAACCACCTCTATATATAAGGAGGCATGCATGATACATTTTGTACATCAATACCAATTCACAAACAAATATGTTGAAACCTCAACTCAACAACCTCTCCCACCACCACAGCCTTGCTCCGGTGTTACTCACACAAGGGAAGAAGAATCTTATCCCCGGAAATGGGGTTGTTGACAACATCGGAAGCCCTTCTTCCTTTCTCTCTCTTAACACCCTCACATTTCCTACCAAACCTCGTAGGTCTTTCTGTTCTCGTAGTCACACCCGCTACTCAATCAGTCAAATTAAAGCCGGCTTCAGTGATTCTGGTAGTGCGAGTCTCATTAGAACCATTAGTCTTAAAGCCGTGATTACAGTCCAAATGACGGTGGGTGGTGTCCTATCGAACCTTAGTGTTGACAGAGCCTTTGATGACATCGGAGATTTGCTTGGAAAATCACTACTTTTGGAGCTTGTTGCAGCCGAGGCTGACCCTAGTAAGTGTACATGCTGATGTTCTGCAAATTATATTATTATACGACCAAAAATGTAAATGGGTTTAACAACTTGTAATTTAATGGGTGGTCTTGGCACTATTGGAGAAAACTAGCAAACATAAAAAAAAAAAAATGTCAAATCTGTCATAATCTAAATAAAGAAAAGAAAATTAAAACATTTCTCTTTCTAAAAAAATCAATAAATTAAAAATAAATAAATAAATAAATTAACTCCAAGTTGAAAGTATTCCTAGATGCAACCTCATGCAGGATAAGGCAACTCGGCCACATCAGCCACACACCTGATATCTATTCCTCGTATGCTTTTTGGCCAAAAACTAACCTGACACATCTCCAATACATAATAAATCGAAGAAACTTTTCAGGTATATTTTTCTAGGGTAAATAGAGAACCATAATTATTGGTTCTCCAAAGAATAATTTTTTTTTTCAAGTTCTAGAGCTTATTCTTTATCGAAAAAAAAATTTAAAAATATCTGAATTCATAACATAACATTGTGAATGTTAAATATATTTTTCGGATTCATCGTGTGAATTTATATTCACATTGTGAATTTTCAAAGATTCACATTGTGAATTTGACGAATTTTTTTTTTCGGATTCACAGTGTGAATTTATATCCAACGTCATCACTACCACCAACAACACTTCCATACCCTTTCATTCCACTTTACTTCTTCATCTATTCAACATGTCTTTTTACCAACACTATTGCAACGATATAATTGTCAAATCCTCTGACATATCATTTCGTCCATTTTAACTCAAAAACCCATGTTTTGAAAATCGGATCGGACCAGCCGGTTCAACCGGGAACCGGTCCCAGATCCGGTTCTTAAAGGCCAAAAAACGGTATTTGTGTGAACCGGTGAAAACCGGTAAAAACCGGTCCGGTTGAACCGGTAAAACCGATCAAAACCGGATGGACCACTTGGACCACTATGACATCATCCGGTTTTTGAGACCGGTCCGACCGGTTGGACCACTTGAACCATCGAACCAGTAAGACGACCGGTTCGGTCTCCGGTTCGGTTTTCAAAACCTTGTCAAAAACACAAATTATTAATTGTTATTTTCTTCCATTGCATTCCATTCCCTTCCATCAATTCCCTTCCCTTCCCTTCCATTAAAATAAAAATCTCAAGAACAAAGGGTAAGTGTTTAAAATATGTATAATTATTAATGTTTTGTGATCCATGTTTAATCTGTCGCTAAATACTATTGTAATTGTTTTTATTAATTATTAATGTATTAAAATGTATTTAATCCGTCGCTAAATATCATCCATAATCCATGGGAAATGAAATGTATCGGATTAGCAACATGTTTTCATTCTTGATTTGGAAGTATCTTTCGCTAAAAATTAACCATCATAGTGACATATACTTGTGTGTGAAGCTCTATTTCATTGTAATATTTGATTTTTGCAGAGACCGGTTTACCAAAGGCTACCATACCGGATTATGCTCATCGATCTGGTCAAAAAGCAGACGACTTAGAATATTTAGCAGAATTTGAAGTGCCCGAAGATTTTGGGTCAATTGGTGCTATTATGATAGAGAACGAACATCACAAAGAGATGTTCGTGGAATCTGTTGTAATTGAAGGCCTCTCCACCGGCCCCATTAGGGTCTCCTGTAATTCATGGGTTCATTCCAAGTTTGATAAACCTGAGAAACGGGTTTTCTTTCTAGACAAGGTTAGCAACTAATTGATCTTTTGATGAGCCCCATTCCAATATGATATATAAAGTTTTACAAGTTTCATTTATTGCAAAAAAGAAACCAATAATTTGATTCAATATGTACTTCAATGTAAATAAACTTTTAGTAGTTTCATACTTTCATTTTCATATCATTATTTGAGTTTACCATTGATAGTACTACTAAATGAATTTTCCGTCGCAAAGCCATCGTTCGTTAGTGATGGTGTGCACTCCGTTGTTGAACCATCTAAAATCTTTCGATAATTTTGGCAAAAATAGACACGGATTACACAAATTATATTTTTTCGGTCGCTAATCCATCTTTATTAATAAATCCAGTGCTAATTTCTTTAAAAGAAGGACTAATATTATAAAACCCTAAATTTTTAACACGTAATTGGAAAAAACCCTAATATTTTTATTATTATTGCTATGGTCACAACTTTCTCGCGGAATTATCACTATAGTCCACTTAACGAGTTTCATGGTTAACTTGGTTAATTTTTTTTTTTGCAAAATCAGTCCTATAAAGTTCAAATTTGGTCCCTGAGGTTTGCAAAAAATTACACCACAAAGTTTTTTAACTTTATTTTTTGTTTTTTTAAACTTTATTTATTTTCGTTTTTTTTTATAAATATATGTACATTTTTATTTCTTTTTTCAACAATTTCTTTTTTTTTTGTTACCTTTTGTTTTCTATTTTTTTTTGTATTTTAGTTATTTATGGTTTTTCTAATATTTTTATTTATTTTGATTCAAGTAAACGAACTTGAATTCAATTTAAACTACTACAGCAAGTTTTTTTTATAGAGACCGACTATTATTATAATTTTTGTTCTTTCTTATAGTTTATTATCAAATTAAAAAATATTATCTTCAATTTAAACTATTGATATCGCATATAGAAATATGATTTAATTTGCAAGTTATATAACACATTGAAACACTAATTCTCAATAAACAAGCTAATTTTTTTTTTTAATTTTCATTTTTTTCGTAACATAAATATAATAGCACTAAAGAAAATAAGTTGGACCGAAATTACAAATATAAACATAAATATTTTACTTACTTGAATAAAAATAAAAAAGTTACAAAAACTATAAAATTATCAAAATTGTAATATACTCTAATATATTAATACATTTTACATTTTTTGAAAAAGGTCAATAAAAACTTAAAAATACAAAAAAAAAATTGGAAAACAAAATAAAAAAAATAAAAAAAAATAAAAAGATGAAAAAATTATAAATATAATACGAAAAGAAAAATGAAAAAAACTAAAAAAAAACTCTAGTATACTCTATATATACACTAAAAAAATAGAAAACAAAAGGTAAAAAAAATCAAATTGTTGAAAAGTTTAAAAAAATGAAAATAAATAAAGTATATATAAAAAAGAAAATAACAAATGTATGTATATTTATAAAAAAACCCCAAAATAAATAAAGTATACAAAAAACGAAAAATAAAGTTAAAAAATCATGTGGTGTAATTTTTTGCAAACCTCAATGACCAAATTTGAACTTTTTAAGACTGATTTTGCAAAAAAGTTAACTAATTTAACCATGAAACTCGTTAAGTGGGCTAGAGCGATAAATCTGCGAGAAAGTTGTGACTATAGCAATAATAAAAAAAATATTAAGGCTTTTTTCAATTACGCGTTAAAAATTTAGAGCTTTAATAATATTATCTTTAAAAGAATTCCTCAGTGTTTTTGTCGTTATTAATCCATATGTGTACATATTAATTAGAGACGGAATAACTCCCTTGATTAGTTCATCTTCTACTGCGCATGTATATCGATCGAATATATGTAACAATATTTTTTAACAGATCATTAAAAATGAAATATATGTATTTTTTGCCTGTCTAATCGCACATCAAACGTTTTAAGGGGGTGTTTGGATAGGGAAAAAAGAGGGCTTCCTATTGTAATTGCCATTGTAGCACGTGTGTGGTCTGCAAATGCCTGTCTTTTGACCGTCTTCATAGGAACGTACCGAAAAGTGAACTCGGATAGCCGGTGATTATTGTTTATTCTCACCACAATAAGCTAAATTTAAGTGTTTGGATAGGAATCCTTAAAAATCAATTTATTGTTGTAGGGATAAGCTAAATAAGCTGATTTTAGGGGGTGTTTGGATAGGGAAAAATTAGGCTGCTTATTGCTTATTGTTTAATCCCACAGCAATAAGCAAATTTAAGTGTTTGGATAAGAGTCTTTAAAAATCAGCTTATTGCGGTAGGAATAAGCTAAATAAGCTGATTTTAATAAGCAAGAGGGGAATGCTTATTGCTTATTGCTTATTGGTCATTTTACTCATATAAGCTGTTTTATTTTGCCAAACACTTAAATGCTTATTGCTTATTGCTTATTCCCACCACAATAAGCTAATCCAAACGCATTTTAAAAAAATGTTTATTCCCACCGCAATAAGCAAATAAACAATAAACTAATAAGCTAAAAACTATTTATCCAAACACCCCCTTAATAAGCATCTTCCCCTTGCTTATTGCTTATTGCTTATTACCACGGCAATAAGCAAATAAGCAATAAGCTAATAAGCTAAAAAGTATTTATCCAAACACCCCTCTTAATAAGCATCTTCCCCTTGCTTATTGCTTATTGCTTATTACCACTGCAAATAAGTTAATAAGCAATAAACTATAATCTAATTTATCCAAGCACAAAAAAAAAAAAAAAAAAAAAAAAATTATATTATATCTTTTTTTCTTGATTAACTGGCGGTAATAGAACTATATCCGAAACTTTTTTTAGTTTTGATTAATTATCAATATTTTACTTTGCGTTGTTGGTGCAGGTGTCATGCCTACCATCGCAGACGCCGAGCGGGTTGAAGCAGCTCCGAGAACAGGAACTAGCGATTCTTCGAGGCGATGGGGTCGCCGATAAACCTCGAGAAAAGAAAGATAGAATTTACGATTACGATGTCTACAACGATCTTGGCGATCCGGATAAGGATCCGGAATTGGCACGACCGGTGCTCGGCACCAAGGATTATCCTTATCCTCGACGTTGCAAAACTGGTCGCCCTCGCTCCAAATCAGGTATCCGATCGATCTTTTCCCATAAACATATTCCAATCTAATAACACATTATCAGAAGTTTCTGGCTTGTTGGTTCGTTTGATTAACGAATAGATTTGTAAATGCAGATCCATTATCGGAGTCAAGGAGCGGTGATGTTTATGTGCCAAGAGATGAAGCCTTTTCAGAAGTAAAGGATATGTCTTTTAATGCCAAGACTGTATACTCGTTGCTTCATGCAGTCATTCCTTACATAGAGACATCTGTTATTGACAAAGACCTTGGGTTCCCATACTTCACAGCCATTGAATCTCTGTTCAATGAGGGAGTTAATTTGCCACCATTAGACAACAATGGGTTTCTTGGAAATGTTCTACCTCGACTTTTTAAGGCTTTTGAAGATGCCCAAAATAACGTCTTGCTTTTTGATACTCCTGAAATGATTGACAGTAACTACATTAACTCTCTTTCTCTGTGTCTACACACACCAAAACACCTTCTTTTTGTCAATTAAAGATTTTTTTTTTTTTGGTTGATTTGCAGGAGATAAGTTTGGTTGGATGAGGGATGAAGAATTTTGTCGACAAACTCTTGCTGGTCTTAACCCTCTGAGTATTAGCTTAGTCACGGTATATTTCCTTGAACAAAATATTGAACCACCTTAATTACTTGGTTGTTATTACTTCATGAGTACTTTCAAACATAAACATGAAAACTAAATACAAAAGTAGTGAAGCTACATGCTGCTAGATGAGTAAGATGACCGGCCCATAATGTGGAAAAATACCCAATTCAATTAAAAAAAAAAAACCCATGTTACATTTTTTAGATACGATTCTGCAACTAATTCTGAATAAAGAAACTAATTAGAAGAGTAATTAAACAGTAAGCTTGAATGTGTGCAGGAATGGCCACTGAAAAGTAAACTTGATCCTGAAGTGTATGGTCCACCTGAATCAGCAATAACCAAAGATGTCATTTTGAAAGAGATCAAAGGCTTCTGCACGCTGGAGGAGGTATGATTAATAACCATCTAAATATTGTAGTTGCCCATAATATCAACTTAAAGCAAGCGTGTTAACCCTACTTCGTATGCAGGCAATAGAGAACAAGAAGCTTTTCGTTCTAGATTATCATGATATCTTCCTTCCATATGTGCACAAAGTTAGAGATCAAAAAAATTTCAGAACAACTTTATACGGATCAAGAACACTGATGTTCCTTATGCCATCTGGAACATTAAGACCATTGGCCATTGAGCTTGTTAGGCCACCTGGCAATGGGAAACCTCAATGGAAGCGAGTATTCACTCCATGTTGGGATGCAACAGGTGCTTGGCTATGGAAGCTTGCTAAGATCCATGCGCTTGCTCATGATAGTGGTTACCATCAACTCGTAAGTCACTGGTAAGTAACTAACCATGTACCCTTTATTGAAGTGAACCATAATTTTATTATAAGTTATTCATATAATATGATACACTGATTTCAAATTTTCAGGTTGAGAACACATTGTTGCACTGAGCCGTATATAATAGCCACCAATCGCCAGCTCAGCAAAATGCACCCTATACATAATCTATTACACCCTCATTTCCGATACACAATGGAGATCAATGCTTTGGCTCGGGAATCCCTCATAAATGCTGGGGGAATTATCGAAACTTGTTTTTCCCCAGGAAAATACAGCATCGAGTTGAGTTCAAGCGCGTATGGTCAACAATGGCGGTTTGACCACGAAGCATTACCCGCTGACCTAATCGCAAGAGGCATGGCGGTTGAAGACCCCGATTCACCACACGGTCTAAAACTATCAATAGAAGACTACCCTTATGCAAATGACGGTTTAGTCCTTTGGGATATAATCAAAGATTGGGTCACCAACTATGTCAACCATTACTACCCAGAAGAGAATCTTGTAGAATCGGATTCAGAGCTTCAAGCATGGTGGACAGAGATTAGAACAGAAGGACACGCAGACAAAAAAGACGAACCATGGTGGCCGATTTTGAAAACACCAAAAGATTTAATCGGAATTTTGACAACGATAATCTGGGTAGCTTCCGGGCACCATGCAGCTGTCAACTTCGGGCAGTATGACTTTGCGGGGTATATTCCAAACAGGCCGACAATTGCCCGAGTGAAGATTCCATGTGAAGATCCTACTGATGATGAATGGGAGGTTTTTAAGCGTAGGCCTGAAGATGAACTTTTGTCTGCATTTCCTTCTCAGGTTCAAGCTTCACAAGTTATGGCTGTTCTTGATGTTTTATCAAATCATTCTGTAGACGAGGAGTATATTGGGGAGACGTGTGAACCAGCTTTTGAGGCAAATCCAGAGATAAAAGCTGCGTATGAAATATTTGCAGGGAGGTTGAAGGAGTTGGAAGGGATTATTGATGGGAGGAATGCGGATGAGAGTAGGAAGAACAGAAATGGAGTTGGGGTTGTACCGTACAACCTTCTAAAGCCTTTTTCGGAACCTGGTGTCACTAGTATGGGGGTTCCAAATAGTATTTCCATATAGATAGTGTTTGAAATTCTTTATATTGAGTGGGTCATGTCATGTTGTAATTCCTGAAAAAAAATGCATTTCCGGTAGACCATGTAAGGGCAATAAAATTGGTATTTATCCAAATAAAGTTGATGTTTATTGTTTTGGTGTGTTGCTGTGCTGCATGGTCCTTGGTAAGTGGTATTATGTCTCTTGTTCAAAATAAATTCAGGCTATTCCTAGTTGGAAAGTAATGAGGTAGCACATAATAGATATTGTTAGTTGTTAGTAATGTAATATATATCAAACAATATTATAAAAAGATACTTGAATATTTTGAGGTTGGGATAGTATTCAAAATATAACTCAGGAATTATGTAATGGTACTGGTGAATTAATGAAATATTTTTCACTAAGAATGTGTTGTACGTAAAATATAAATGTGTAGGAATCATAGATAATGAAAGAATATTGCTATTATTGAAAGCATAATAGGCGAATGAAATAGTTGTATTTAGCAACCAATATTACTAAAAGGAGTTTGGAACAAAATGGTTATGTTTAAACTTAGGACTTGATATCCGAAATGAAAGTAGAACGTCTAATTAGAAAGTACATTACCTAAATTGTTAAAAGTATCAATTAAAAAAATAATTTAGTACCGTCATTGGATGTGAAAGTGACTAGTACTTGTCTAGCTTGTATGATTTAGGCAAATAACTTTGATGATTTTGTAAATATCCGATGCATGTATATTTAGGGACTAAATCATACTAGCTAGACAAGTACTAGTCACCTTCACAAGCATCGGATATTTACAAAATCATCAAAGTTATTTGCCTAAATCATACTAGCTAGACAAGTACTACTCACTTTCACATCCAATGAAGGCACTAAATTACGGTGTAAGTGATTATTGAGATGCTTTGAGTTTAAACGTTCTACTGTATGTGTTAGGGATTAGGGCTTGGGTATAAACCCTAATCACTAACAGTATGATGATAGGATTGATCATCATGTATTAATCTCCCATTGATTTACTGATACTATTTATCATGTTGTGCAATAACTGTAGCATAACTAAACAAATATTTTGTGAAACCATTTCCTAACAATGATACCGGGTAGCACCCAAGTGTTATTGACATACAAAAACAGGACACTTCATCCCCAAAGGTAAAAAGCCATATGCAACAGGCTGCAAATCGATTGGTGACAAATTAAATTTTTTTACGGATTTTATCGGAAAATAGAACGACCTATAGTTACATCGCTCAATCGGTCTTCAATTCCTATTTTTTCAGAGACAAATAATCAGGAAAATAGTGTTGGTATCCTCAAATAAGATGTCCTTCAAAATCATTTTCATTGCATTTTTTGTTAGGTCCCTATGTGCATTTCCCCTACTTTTCATTCCTTCATATAATGAATTTCCCCTAAACGTATCCATTTGGTCCGTGAACCGTCCATGAAGTAGACAGAGCTAAAATGATGTATAGATGTCTAGATGTCTAGAAAGATGTAATCACAATTTTTGATGTTTTGAATTTCTAATTTTCCGATTTTGATTGTATAGAGAACACTACTAGAAAATGGGTATTACCAACAGATTTTAGCAACAGAAAAAATCCGTCCGAACAGCAACGGAATAAAAAGATATTTTCTATACTTCATTTTCCAAGTACTATAAACTACTAATATAACATACTAAAAACGTGTGGCTTTTCATTTTCCAGGATAGTTTTGTAATTTAATACCTCTTTTTTTTTTCTATATATAGGGAGGCATGCCTGATAGTTTTTGTGCATCAATACCAATTCACAAACATATTGAAAGCTCAGTTCAACAATCTCTCCCACCACCACAGCCTTACTCCGTGGTTACTCACATAAGGGAAGAAAAATCTTATCCCCAGAAATGGGGTTGTTGACAATATCGGAAGCCCTTCTTCCTTTCTCTTTCTTAACACCCTAGCTTTTCCTAACAAACCTTATAGGTCTTTTTGTTCTTGTAGTCACACCCGCAACTCAATCAGCCAAATTAAAGCGGGCTTCATTGATTCTGGTAGTGCAAGTCTCATTAGAACCATTAGTCGTAAAGCCATGATTACAGTCCAAATGACGGTGGTTGTTGTCCTATCGAACCTTTCTTTTGACAGAGCCTTTGACTACATTGGAGATTTGCTCGGAAAATCGCTACTTTTGGAGCATGTTGCAGCCGAGGTACATGCGGTTTTTCTGTATATTATACTATTCGACGACCAAAAATATAATGGCCTTAAGAACTTGTAAATGAATGGGCGGATGGTCGTGGCACCATTAGAAAAAACTTGCAAAAACGAAAAAAAAAAAGATGTCAAATTTGTCATAATAATATAAATAAAGAAAAGAAAATTACTAATTTCTTTCTTTCTAAAGAAAGAAATAAATTAATCTCAAGTTTGAAAGTATTCGGAGATGCAACGAGACGGATAAGGTCACTCCGCCACATCGGCCACACACCCCATATACGCATTCCTCGTATGTTTTTTGGCCCAACATTAACCTGTCACATCTCCAACACGTGATGAATTGAATTGAAGAAACCTTTAACATATTCAATTTTTAATATATAAATTACAATTTATATGATTTGTTTTTTATGAAAACTCAAACCTTAAAAGAATTATAAAGAATTAAGAGTAAATTAAAATTTTGGGTATGTGGTTGAGACAAATACGCAAGTGTTGTCCTAATTTGAAAATTTGATACTGCCGGTTGGAAAATATTTCAGTTTCCGTCAAAGGCCATTATATTAAGTCCCTATGAAATAACTAAAATGCATTATTTTATTTTTATTATTATTATTATTTTTTTTACTATTTGTGATTTTTATCTTTTTTTGTTTTTAGAAATATTATTATTATTAAATTAGTTAGTGAGTCTCATCCTATACCACCCCACTATCACTACTATACTACCACCAACACCAATCCATAAACCACAATCATCATATATTCTCATATATGGTCGTCACCTTACCGTGTAACCTTACCACCCATCACCCACCACCGGCCATGGTTCACTTTTTAAGGTCAATATTGAAACAAGAACTGGGATAGTTTGACATAGAAATGGTCAGAGTGAGAGGGAGGCAACGGCCAAGTAGGCGGTGGCGACTATTTTGGTGTGCACGTAATGGTGACAATAATAGTCGAGTTGTTGTGCGTCAAATGGATATGTCAAAAATGGTAGATCCGCTCCTTCATGGAGAGCGAGAGAGAGATGGTCACCTTCATCCGAAAAAGAAAGAGACCGCACGAAAGCAGTTTTTCCTAAACGGTGATACCGCCAGGTTTGAAACTTCAATCTTTTAGCAGCTTGTGGGGCCTGATCACCGGCACTACAAGAAATCTTGACATTACCGGCGACGCCTTTAGCGGCGACAAGGGGCAATAGCGGCGACATGTAATTGACGCGTTACATGTCGCCGCTATTGCCCTTTGTCGCCGCTAAAGGCGTCGCCGGTAATACTCGAAAACAGCGATCCGCGTCAAATTACCCCCGTCCGTCCGATCTGTTTTCAATCCAACGGTTGTAGAGGAAAGCGAAAACGCGCTGACTTTTCCCTCCAAGGTGTCGCCGCTATTGTCCTATTGTCGCCGCTAATACTCTAGCGTCGCCGCTATTGCCTGTCGCCGCTAATACCAGTGCAGATAACCCCTTTCCAGTTCCCTTTTCCGCGACATTTTCCTGCTGTTTCTTTCCTTCTCTCGCTCTCGTTTTTCTCGCTCTCGTTTTCTTGTTGCTGCTTCTCAACAAATCTTGGACCAGTCGACTAAGTGGAGGAAGAAGATTTAAGGCGGTGCTAGCCCTCCTGCCACCACAAGACCGCCACGCCTTCCCCCGTTACCGGCTACCATTGAGCTCAATTCCGAAATTGCCCACATTCAAGGTGAAATTCCTCCTATTTGCTATTATTTTCTGTCTTGGATGATAAATTGGTTTGATTATGTCGGAAATTGCCTCTTCAATTGTTGTTATATTACTGATAAACACAAGACCCATTCGTATTTTTTTTTTCTTGTTTATTATCTGTTCATGAATATAGAAATTGATGCTATATGTGGGAAATTGGCTCTTGAATTGTTATTAGATCACCTATAAACACAAGACCATTAGTATTTTTTCTTTCTTGCTTCTCTGCTTGCTTCTTGCGCCATGAAGGATCGATGAGGAAGAAGCAGGAGGTATCAAACCTCCTGATTTAATCAAACTCCAGTACAAAATATATATGATCAGCCCCTCAACTTCTGATTTGTACGGTTTTAGTCCCTTGCTCTAAAAAATAATTAAAAGTCTAGTCTTAAACAAAGAAACTTCAATTAAAATCTTCAAAGTTTACCCTATTGAAATTGACATGAAATTTGGCATGAAATTGGCTTAAAAATGAAATTTGGTATGTTTTTGTAATTTTTGTTTATACCACGTTGGCTTAAAGAAGCGTATTAGCGACGAAGCATTACCGGCGACGCATTTGCGGCGACATGTCGCCGCTAAAGGTATTAGCGGCGACTTCCCTAACCTTTAGCGGCGACAAGCGTCGCTGCTGTTGCCCAATCTTCTTGTAGTGCGGAGGTACCAGGAGGCCGTAAGTGTTTTTGAGCATCGTCGGTACTCGGGAGAATTAAACCAAATTCGATGGTGTTGGAATATATTATATGGAGCATTTCCGAATCTATAGAAATAGTCCCTTAAGTTTAATAAGAAAAGAAAAGATAAAAAATAGGCATCATTATCACTTTACAGGAAGATAACCGAAGCATCTAGATGGTAATTAGGACAGAGACAAAAACAAAAGGATTTGCTAACCATAAAATTAAAATTAAGTACATGTCAACCGCATACAAAAACTATAATTCACTTAAAAATTAATTGCATCAAAGTTTATTCATCAATACTAAAAGTTTTAATAGTTTTATATATATATATATATATAATATATATATATATATATATATATATATATATATATATAATTAGGACAGAGAAAAA